ACTTTTGTCCTTTTATTTATCCATGCTTCTCTACCAACAGAAGTATGCTAAAGAAGTCGGAAGGTGAATTACCGATGTGCTGTGGCTTTTCCTCGTCTTAGCTGCGGAGTGAGGCAGTGGAAGTGGCGCGAGAGTTGGCGTTCAGCAACTCACAGGTTGAGGCTGAATGGCGTCGCTGGCGAGACACGCGGGTGTTGGAGACGACGGAGAGTTTAACCGCACTGACGGGTGCCTACGTAGTCTATTGGAATGCTGTGGCTGAGGCCTGGCGTGATGCCGCGGCCTTATTGAAAGCACCAGTGTCATCAAGACAGTTCTCAATGGAGGGCTCCATCATGGAGGCAAGTCCACAGGTTGCATCACACTACGCCACTTCTGAGTCTGCAGAGGATTTGTGGAATGTGGTAGGATGTAACACTGATGTTAAAGAAGGGGAGATTGAGAATAAGAGGGAACAGGAGTGGCCGCACGCGGACTTGTGGGAGTCGTCCTTGAGATCGCCATCACCATCCGTCAAATCGGGAGGCGTGGATGTGAGGAATGGGGAGGCTGTTGGAGAGGTGTTGAATTGCTCTCAATCAAATACAAGTACAGATGAGGCCGAAGGGGGGAGGGAAGGGAGGACTGCTGGTAATCCGTCGAATTGCAACTCCTTGGAGAATTCGGCGGAAGGAGGAGTAAAGGAGAGAGGATGGAGTGACTGTGGAGGTGCAGAAGATTCAGGCAAGCAGGCATAATAGCGAGTCATGAGGCACGATTATCCAGCTAACTGTGATGACCTCCCTTTTGGCCCCTGTTTACGCTTGATGTGTTGTTGTTTCTACCTTGGTTGTTATTTGTCTTTTTTGTCTCCTTTTTTGCTGTACTTTTACAAGATCAGAGAAGTGAGCGTAAGACTATTGGTTTTGCTAGATCACGTTGTCTAGATTAAAATTGTTGTTGTGGTTTTGGAATAGTGAAGATGTGGGGAGAAGAAGAGGGATTGCGTAGAAGTGAGGTTGTCTTAGTTCTTCTCAATTTGTGTCTGAGTTGGTTTGGTGTCCTGTGACTTCCTCAAGGTCGAGCGAGGTACGAGGGTTGGGTCTGAGGGCTATTGGTTGGTTGGTGGTGGAATGGTCTGTGCAGTTGGCTGATGAGGCTATTTGGGAACTCCAAACTCATCACCTCCACCAT